ACTGACTCATTGACTAACTGACTTGGTGACTGATTGACAGGTCAAATGACTCACTGACTGATTGACTGACTGACTCAAACTGACCAAATAAGTGACTCCATAAGTGTATGACTGGCCGACCCACTTATCCTCTGACTAGCTATGGAACTCATTGACAGCTGAATTCACTAAACAGTGTTGGAATCAAAACTTATTAACGTTTTCAATATTCAGTTTGTGTTTACAGAGACAACGATTCGGGCGTTGTTGGACACCTTCACCAAACTTCGTCACTATAAGGGACGATGCCTCTTCTGTCTTTGTGTTATTTCATATCTTATCGGGCTCTCTTGTGTCACTAAGGTAAGTTAATTAATAATGGTAATAGGACCAAGTGGTGTCCAACTCGGTCTGGAATTATACAAGTGATCACAAAATCGGACGACTACGAGGCAGGAGTCCGATTTGTTAATTATGAGCATGATTATAAACAATTATTGGAAAAGTTTTTTTTTATATCCAAAATAATAAAAGGTCGATGTAGAGGTTATCACCCTTACTGAGACCTTGACTTTTCTGGATATCACAAAAACCGAATCTTATAACTGTTTTATAATACACTGAATGAAAAAAAGTAAGTAGAACTGATAATTAATTTCCAAACGTGTACAAATATGCAAATCAGAAAGGAACACAAAGCGCGCGAACTTGACATGATTACCCCCTAAAAATCATGCACTGCGGTCATACGTGACATGATTACCCGTGACTTTGAGTGTCCTTGACATAATTATTGTATAATCTGCAACAAGATGACGTCCCAGGTTTAATTTCGAAAAATTTACTGTGCGCTTTCGGCCAATCAGAAAAGAAATAGGGAGTTGGATGTATAATAAAAATTTAATGTAAAAAAGGTAAATGGTGTGATTATTTGAAGATCGTGAGAATTCGTTATTGATTTAAAAAGACCAAAAAAAAGAACTTATTTAGCAGAGATCATCTTTCGAGAGTTTTTGTAGAATTTAATT